CGGTTCCCCGCCGGACGGGTTGGAGGTTGCCCCTGTTGAAGCAATCAGTGACATATCAATGGTCCGGCGGAACCTGTGCTCGCCGAGCCTCCTGTCCCCTAAACTTGAAGAGGAAGTTAGGAAGAGATGGGCAGGAGGAGGCAACCTCACGTCTTATCCAATCCCTTATATTTAGGAGCGGAATGTGGGGGATTGGATAGGTTCAAGATTAGGATGTCTATCTGGGCCCGAGGTAGGCAGGGTCATCATACAATGTGTGGAAGTCTTATGGGAGTTGGACTCTGTACTCCCTTTGGCTATAAAAGGAGGTATTCTCCTCAAGAATAAGGTAAGACTTTCTCAAACCCTAAACCATACTTCGATATCTCCTCTCCTTTTTACTGACTAGAGCGTCGGAGTGCCTGCCCCGGACACCACGCTCCGGGTTTGGGCACTAACGCGGTTGCTTCGTGCGCAGGTCTAGCCCATCTTCGTCCAAACCTCAACCATCCAAGCCACAAGGTCCAACCGGAGAAAGCTTGCCACCACATGTTTGATTCATTCTTGTAATTTTTACCCATTTATGAGATTTCCACGTATGTCGCTTTGTTCATCATATTGTATCAATTCCTTATTGTTGATTGATTGAGTTAGCAACTTAGGAAATTTTTTTTTTTTTTTTTAAAAAAGTGTGATGATAAAAGGGGTATTCCGTGCAAAGCCCTTCATTTGGAAGAATTATGAATACATTATCTCAACAAAATAAAGACTCGTATAATCCTCAAATTCAAAATATCTCATGAATACTCAGATAGTGTCACCTTTTTGAAATTCAAACAATATAATCAATCAAAAACCTTTCCATTGGCTGTTTTTGAGCCTTCGGCCTTGCCCCTTTGGGTGTTTGGGCTCTTGCTCTTTTAGGTGGTTTGGGCTTGGCCCTTTGTTTCATCCAACCTTGATTTCCCTCCTCCCCCACCCCCAACTTGATGTACCGTGATCAAGTTTTCTTAATAAAACTTTTATTGCTTATCAAAAAAAAAATTCCGTGCATTTGCGTAGTAAAATTCTAAATTTAAACTAAATTTAAACAAAATAACTGATGATAAAAAGTATTTTTAATCTATTCACATGCATTTGCGTAGTAAAATTCTATACTATATTTGTCAATGCCTCACCACATAAGAAGGCTAAAATCAAATATTCATTTTCCATAAAGCAATTGATAAATTTATCAGTATTGGTAAATTATTCCGCATTTTGATAGATTTATCAAAACGATACTAAAAAGGATGACAACCTGTTCATTTTCGAACATTTATCAACTGAGAAATTACTAAAATGAATCGTATCTTGTTCCCATTTGATAAACTTCTCCCCTAGAATATATTTGAATGATGATAGCTTTATTGAATTAAAAAAAAAAAAATTATCGATCCAAACACAGAGAGAGAGAGAGAGCGCGCGCTTATAACCTCTCTTTTTTAATGTACATGGACATTATTGTCTACTCAGATTAAAATGCGAATTTTTTTCCGGCAAGAGGTTAAAATATAGTAATAACTTCTTCTTATGAGATGAGATTTATCCTAACCCTCAAGTATGATCCCAGTGTAAGTGACCCTTGATGAAAAGATGAGTGAGAACGTTAACTACTATGAGGTTGTCTTTTTTACGGAGCGCAATCACAACCGTCCATTCACGCAATCAATGGTTGGAATTCGTTTTCAATACTTACCGATATATAAGAATTGATTTTCAATCCGGACTGTCCAAAAACACTTTGGACGGTTGCGATTGGGCTCCGTAACTTCTTCTTTACGGAAACAACCGTAAAAATGTTTTTCTGAACTAATATATATATAAGAAAATTACAAGAGAAAAATTACAAGACAATAGCAATTGCTCGAAGTTATACTGATCAATTTAATATTGTCGAGTTTAATTTCAAATTACAGCAAACATGGTATGCCCCTTATAGACTGTACATTCAGTTAACCTTTTTTTAATTTCAAGCTAATTTATCCAAAAAAAAATCGAGGAATTCAAAGAAATTAGGAAGGCATGGAATTTAAATTATGAGGGCATGGAATTGCGAGTGCCAATTAGTTATGTCCATCTGTTGATTTTCCTACAACTATTGTATCTTCTGAATTTCCTAGTTTTTTTAGCAATTATATATGGCATTTTCTGAGTTCAAAAATGTAAAATAAAATAAAAGATTAGCACTCACAACTTAACTACAACTTGCACCAAGAAACATGATTGACTATCGACTCACACCCTCAACTTAAAACGACTACTACGTAATGAAACATACTTCACAGTGGTATAATCAAAACTAAAAGGTCGCTAAGATTAGCAACATTTGTTCAAAAAAGAGCTCGCATTGGAATAACTAAACTTAGCAATCTCTTAGCAACTCATCAAATTTTGGCCGGTTGACCATCCACAGTGGTATAATCAAAAAAGGATAACCAAAAGTTGACACATCAGCTTTTGATTATTCACTTAAGAGGTTGTTAAGCTTAACAATGTTGAGCTCACAATGGTCACTTCTAGTCCATAACCAAAATAAGGGTCCACTACAATTTCATTCTCTCTCCCCCTCTGTTTTCTGCCATTCACTTCCCTCTATTTACGTTTTTTTTTTGGGTAAAAATATATCATTTTCCTCTCTTAATTTTGGGAAAAAATCGGTGACTTTCTTCCCTCCTATTATAAATTTTTTTTTGGGAGGAAAAGAAGAGTAAATACCTTAATCCGGCGATGATGGGTTGAATTATAGATGATCGATAGATATGAGCTTCACTTTTTAAGGGAAAGAAAGAGAAATAGTTTGTGGGTGAAGTGAACAAGATATTTAGTAGGTGAAGAAGAGAAGAAAAAAAATACCAATTGAAACACGCGTGTATATAAATTTTGAAACTAGTTAACTTATGTGGTGTGGAGTCCACAAATTTTGATTATTGATAAAGGTTGCTAGTTTTGGTTATCCAAAGTCCAAAATTTGATTATTTCTAAGGATGTTGCTAAGTTTGATTATACCATTGTGAGCCATCTTTTGCACAAACATTGTTAACTTTAAAAATAATTGGCTTTTGATTATACCACTGTGGATGGCCTAAACTAGCGACCTTTTGCCAATAATCAAATTTAGTTGTCCACACATTTCCTCAATCAAGTACACTATCATTACACAAAAACCTTCACTCTCTTCCATTTTCACCATGTTTCTAAGAAAATAACTTTTAAAAACAGTTTTTATTTTTTTGCAGTTTTTGCAAAAAGAGTTTATTTCAAAACAGTTTTTTATTAAAACTTTTTTTTTTCAAAAACTGTCCTTTAAAAACGTTTAATTTAAAAACTTTTTTTAAAAAAATTTCCCAAAAATGTTTTTTTTTAAAATCAAAGTTTTCAAAAAACTATTCTCTCTTTTTCTAATAACCTATTTTTATTAGTTTGAAAACTATTTTAAAAAAATTGTTTTCTATGTCACAATTTATATATTTTTATAAGTTGAAAAGGTGATATGACAAGTTTTGGTTATTCAAGTTTGATTGTACCATTGTGGACATCTACATTGCTAACCTTAGCAACCCTTTAAATGGATAACCAAAAGATGATGTGACAACTTTTGATTATTCCACTGTGGATGCTCTTAGTACGTCTCAATGCATGACCTCAACGATCGATATTCACAGTTCCAAGGAATGGTCCCGAATTTGAATTGAAGGGGTTTTAATTTATTCTCGCCAACCTCAATCACATTCATAGTTTTTGACAACTCCATATATAAGCCTGAAATACTCAAAGCGTAATGTTGTCCAAAGATTTCAAGTTGGTGAAGCCAAGGATTAGCGGCTAGCTTCCACTTTAGATGTCATCAGAGAATTTTGGGAGCCAATTTTCATTTTCATTTTCATTTTCTTGATTTTTTGGCTTTTTGAATTTTGATCAGAATGTATTTTGAATTTGATAGTGTTTGGATAATATGTGCAGAATGAATTTTACAGCAGGAGTAGTATATATTTGGAAAATATGTGGTGAAAATAAATTACTCCCTCCGTCCCTTTATTACAGTTCAGTATTCCATTTTGGGCTGTCCCTTAATAAGTGTCTATTTTGTAAAGTTAGTGGGTAAAAGTTGGTGAATTGTCTACTTTGTCTCTAAAAGTAGATTCCATTTTGAAAAGTTAGTGAGTAAAAGTGTAATGATGATGGGTAAGTAGGCAAAGTGGAGGAAAAAGTTGATGTGAAAGGTATAATGATGATGTCTTTTTAATAAGTTGGAGTTACGAAGCATGACATTTAAAAAGGGACAGAGGGAGTATGTGATAGTATTTTTACCATGTTGTCCTTGTTTTGAGACGAACCAAATTTGTCTCTCTTTCACACACACGCACAAACCCTGGCAAACCAATTCCAAACCCATTTCTCTCTCTCCTCCTCCCATACCAAATCTCCATTTCTGCAAATCAAGAGCCCATTTTCCTCCTAAAAAAACCAACAGCCCTACGCCATTTCTCCTTTTCCTCCTAAAAAACCTACAGCCCTCTCCTCTCTCCCTCTCTCTCTCATACAAAATCAAGCGGGGGCAGATCTGGGAGAGGTGGTCTCGGAGACCCATTAAAGCGCCGACAAAGATCAATAGAATCTGATGAGTTTTGAAAAATCAATTGGTGAAGCCACTCCAAATGGGTTTCGAAATTGAATCTATTGAGTTTTGTAGAATTTTTAGTGAAGTAGCTGGAGACAGGGCCAGCCCAAGGTATTTGGATGCCCTAGGCCAAGTGGTAGAATAGTGCCTTAAATAAATTTCATAATTTAAAAACAATAAACAAAAATACTTATCTATATATCATTTCATTCATACTATTCAACATGGTAAATATTTCGGCCTGAATGGCTTGTGCGGTTGTAATAATATTCAGTGGACTCAGATTTGAATCACAGCAGTCCCAATTTGTGTGATAGGAGAATTTTTTTTTTTTTTTTGGCAAAAAGACACTTCAAAAAAGTACTCTACCAGGATTTGAACCTAGGCATCTTATTTAAAAGAGCAAACACTTTACCACTAAACCACCAAATGAGTTTGTATTATAGTTGCATACAGAAAATATATATACTTATCTAGGAAGGTGTAACGACCCGGATTTTTGAAAAATAAAAATTTCACTAAAAATTTGAATTTTATTTTTATCACGTGGATTCTATTTAAAATTCCTTTTAACATCCCAAAAATCCGTCGTTACTAAATTCAAGATTATAAAAATTTCGTCACGACAGTCAATACAGTCATTTTCTAAAGACAAGTGTGCTAGTAAGCTTTAAGATTATATTTCTTGGCTAGAAATCCTACTTAGCAAGACTAGTTAGATTTTAACCAATCTTCGAGAAACCCTAACTAACGATCCATCTAGTTGCTTCTCCTAAACCCTAGGAAGACCTTTTGAACTTCATTAGACCTTTTGAACTTCCTTGAACCATTTGAACCTTTTGAACCCTAAATGAGCCTTTTTGACCAAAGTCAACCGTTGACCTTTGTCCATTGGTCCATCGTTGTTAGTAGAATTATTATCCATTGGATAAAAGGACTAGTACTAAGATATAATAGTTAATTCATTGTCTAGGATTCCATGGGATTCCCTCCTTAAAGAATTAGAAGAGAATCTAGTATAATATAGGATTCTAAGATTTCCTATGAACAAATACTATTTAATAAAGAGACATGTGTCAATTTGACTTAGTATAATATAAAATTTTGACTAAATCTTACCCTAGATATGCTAGTACCTACCCTATTATTATAATAGAGTTCCATTAACCTACCCCAATATTATTTTATGAAAGCACACATGTGCCAAATCTATTTAACTAATAGGTTATTCTTTCTCTTTCAAGAACCCCATTGATTATTCTTTTCCTTGTCCTTTCCAAATCTATTAGGTAGAAGTATATATACATATATGTGTATATTGTACCAAGGGAGAGAGAGAGACAAGGAGAGAGGGAGAGAGGAGAGATAGGGCCGAGAGAGAGAGAAAGAGATAGGAGAGAGAAAGAGGATATGATGTACCTTTAGATTGTTTTCTTTCAAATCCTAGTATATATACATACTTAAGTACTAGTACCAATAGAAGAAGAAGAATATGAAGGACCTAAGGTGGACTAAAATACTAGATTTCCTTACAAACCTTACAACCCAATCTTTACTCTTTCTCAAGTCAAACCCCAAACCCTTGTCCTTTCAAGCTTAGGTGTCAATGTACCAATGAGAGAGAGAGAGAAGGAGAGGCCGAGAGAGAGATGAGAGGGGGAGAGAGAGAGATGGCCGGTTGAGAGAGGGAGAGAGAATGTGATGTATGTGACTAGTGTACTCCCATATCTAGCCATTGACCATCCTATTGCATCACCATTGTACCACCAAATCTAGGGTTCCTTTATTCTTTCAACCCTAAGGACAACCAACCCTAGATTTCTTATTCTTTCAAGTACTAGACTAGACTAGGAAAACCTTAGAATTGCCTACACTTGTCCTAAACTTGAAAGAAAGATCTATTAGCCTTTCCACCTATGTACTTTTGCATTGTACCAAAGAGAGAGAGAGAGAGAGAGAGAGAGAGAGAGAGAGAGAGAGAGAGAGAGAGAGAGAGAGAGAGGGGGGGAGAGAGAGAGATGGCCGGATTGGGAGAGGGAGAGAGAGTGTGATGTGTGTGCAAGTGTACTCTCCAAATCTAGTCCATCCTTGTTGGCCAATTTTGTACACAATCCAAGTACAACCAAAAATCTAGTCTTTCTTGCACATGATCATCTAAGGACAACCATGTCACCATTTCTTATTCTTTCAAGTACTAGACTAGACTAGGAAGCCCTTAGAATCACCTACACTTGTCCTAGAAAGAACAAGAAAAATCCTTGTAATCTTCCACCTATGTACTTGTGTACATTGTACCATGGAAAGAGAGAGAGAGAGAGAGAGAGGGAGAGAGAGATTTCGGATGGGAGGGAGAGAGAGAGAGAGAGTGATGTGTGCAAATGTACTCCTAAGCCTAGTCATGGTCCTTTGGCCAACACCTCACACCATCCAAGTACCATCAAATCTTCCCAAGGTAAAAAAAAAATCTAGTCTTTCATGTGTTTTAATAAGAGAAAAATCAAAGATAGGAGAGAGAGAGAGAGAGATTTCGGATGAGGGAGAGAGGGAGAGAGAGAGAGCCCTTGGCCTATAAATAGCAAGCCATTCATGCCTTGAACTCACACCTTCAAGCATTGCTCCAACTTCTCTCTAGAAACCATTTCTGCTTTTCCAGGCAGCTTACTGCCCTCCACAAAACCTCAATGTTCTCCTGTTTAAAGTGGTTTCTAGGATAAACTTCCTCCGGGAAATTTGTAGAGCACTTCGAGCTCTTCAAGTTAGACCCAAGAACCACCCTAATCGGTCAAGAAACGACAAAGATATCGACATCCGAAGTTCAGCAAAAATTCGGATTTCCAGATTCCAGACAGCAAACTGTCCATCCCTTTATCACCATATTTTTCCTACCTAAAGTGCTTTCTAGGATCAACTTCCTTCACAAAAGTTGTAGAGCACTTCTAGAGCTTCGATTTCGACTCAAGAACGATCATATTCGGCCAACTATTGATCGAGTTACTGCCACCCGAAGTTCGGTCCAGATTTGTGCATTTCATCGCCGTAGAATTTTCCAACTAGCTTATTCGGCCCCGACTAGTTTCGGATCAAGGTAGGACATTCCTACATCCTTATCCTAAGTATATGTAGATTGTACCTATGCTTTCTAAACTCTAAGTATAACGTATTGTATGCGTAGTTTGAAATGATTGTAGATTGTTCTTACACCTTCTAATCCTAAGTATAGATAATTGTACGATCATGTAGGATCTTCCTATACCTCCTACAGTCTAAGTATATGTCGATTTTCCTATACTTTCGAACTCTAAATATAATTAGAAATGTGTTGCCTTGAAATATAGATAATCGTGTTTATAGATAGTTTAATCTCGACTCATAAACAATAGTATGATCACATAGATTTCCATATCTACTTTCCTTAAATATAAATTGAAATGTGTATACTTTTGAAAGATGGATAGTCCTTACTATTTTTCAAAAATAAAGTTTACTTTAAAGTAGGCTAAGAACATGAGATAGATTTTTCCACCAAAGTATGGCATATCGTATGCATGATTCGAATCGATTAGGATAAAGATAATGGCATGATCACATAGATTATCTAATCGACACCTCTTGAGAAAACATAGAATCCTTATCAACACTATTCTGATATATGCATTGCAATTCAATAAACATATGCTGTTTTGAACATCTTGAAAGAAAGAATGAACTTTGAAGGTTAACGTCGTGAATTAATTTTAAGTAATTGTACTTGGATCGTTTAGATGATATTAGACTTGTTATGTGCTTACTTGTATTACTTGTGGTTGTTGATTAAAGCATAAGTGATTTATCACTCCAAAGGCGTCCGTACATGTGGCGTTATGCTTTAATGTGATTGAGCATGATTACATGATAATTTGAGCATGCTATCTAATATAGAGTTGGACGATCTTGCTAGTTTAGTTTCAAGATTACTTACATTGTGAAATGAACTATTGCGGAATCATGGCATGCAAACGAGACACAAAAAAACTGAGAAGGTAGAAACATGACACCTAGGGTGTGGTTGATATGGATAAAATATTTTTGAAAGTACATAATGGCTAGACGTGGTAGTCATTATGTGGATGTGAAAACCTGCAAGGTGGCCGGACTCGGTAGCCCTTTGTATGGACTTGCGAAAACCGCAATGTGGCCGGACTTGGTAGCCCATTGTGAAGATTGCCAATGGGGCCGGACGTGGTAGTCTCATTGGTAGTATGGCTTGGTATCCGCGGGAAGGAGCCAATGCAAGATTTGAATGGATTGCGGAAACCGCAATGTGGCCGGACTTGGTAGCCCATTGTGTGCGTTGCCAATGGAGCCGGACTTGGTAGCCTCATTGGTAACGAGTGTTGAAAATATATTCGAAATGTTGTTTTCGTAAAGTGAAATGGATGACACGGTCTACAAATTGTTGCGTAGGAGAAACACAGAGAATCATGACACCAACGTGAATAAGAAAGTGAAGGTGGCTGCGTCATTGCTAATTATGTTGTTGAATGAGCTTGTGTAATTGTCTATGTGAATTTCTGGTTGCTTAACGATTTTCAAAATGTTAATTTGAGAAATGAAACGCTGTGTATGAGAAACTCTGATATTTCGAAAACCAACGAACGTTAGAAAGAAAATGCGGATGTGTTATTGTTAATAGCTGTTGAATAAACACATACTGCGTAGATATCATTATCTGTATGATTCACTACTGTTATACGTGACTTGCTATGTGTAAGTTAAGGGTTAGTGGGTATGGTTTATTCTATTGAGCTTTGTAAGCTCACGGTGTTGCCTTTGGTAACCCTGACATATTATATTGGTGGCGACGCCGGTATAATGTGTCAGACCTTATAGATGAACAGGGTGAGCTGTACACCTTGGAGGCTTTTGGAGCTAAGGAGCTGGCTAGGATGGAAGAAGAGACAGAGTAGTAGATAACCTTAGAATTTCCATCCTTTGTGTAAAAAGTACTCTAGTAGGAGCTACGATGTAATAATGAGCCAGACTCCATTTGATTTTATCAATGAAATGTTTATTTAACGTACCCGAAAATGGGGGCGTTACAGAAGGAGTGCCCCATTTTTGACCCAAAAATATGGAGGCCCAAGGTAGCGGCCTCTTGGGCCTTCCCATTGGGCCGGCCCTGGCTGGATATGTAGTGGGTTTGATGGTGGGTTTAATTTTTGAAGAGTCATTTTGATGTTTTGGGTTTCTTCTATGGTCAGATTGAAATGGAAACCACAATTCTAACCCAGAAGAAAGTCTCCCTGTTCTTGTGGTGGGAGATGCAGAAGTGTGAAGAGGATAACGTAAACCTAAGGGGCTTTTGGGTATTATTGAAAAATGGAGAGGGTATATGGGTCTTTTGTGAGGCTGCTGAAGGAGAATGAGAAAAGCTCCTCTTCCCCTCTTTTTCACTT